GTCAGGACCCCGCGGGGGTCACTTTGGAGGCTGCAGAAGCCCTGGAGGGTGCCAGGGGGAGGGAGCGTGTCGGGGACGGCTTCGCCCTCTTTGAAGTCGCCGGTCCCGGAGAAGCCGCTCCCCTTTTACAAACGGAGGTTTTTGCGGTGGCTGAAGAGGGCATCGGGTCAGGCTGCAGTGCCTTGCCAAAGGACATCATTTGGACCTTTATCTCCCGCTCTCTGCGGGCCCTGGATGTGAGCTTGCAACAGTGAATGCACTTTTGAGGGACGTATGATTCGCCCAGGCACCTTATGCAAGCGTCATGGCCATCAGCTGCCGGCATAGCTTCCCAGCAAACTGAACATTTTTTAAAACCGGGAGATTCCGGCATTGCTAGGAGCCGGTAAGGGTGGCTGGATGCCGACCATGCTTGATCTCTGTCTTTCACTCTTTGTCAGTTTCAGTTTTTTAGCGCTTAGCCGTAGCGTTTGAAGAAATTGATTTGAAGAGAAAAAAAATTTTTTTTTTAACCGAAGATCAATAGAAACTGTAGAACAGGAACACGACTAACACTAACTTTAACTATTTACAGTGAAAAAAAACTAAGATCGTTACTGAGAGAAGAGATATGAGAACACAGGGAGCTCCGACCGTGACCTGAGGTGGTTGAGAGGAACTGACGGTTGCCAGCCTGCGCGCGGCTGATCAAAGGCGCGAATGGCGCTTTGAAGGAGCCGCGCATGCGCGGGCTGGCAGAGCACGGCTATGAGAATTCTCCGAGCCGCGGCGCCAGGATGGGACCCAACACCTAGAGTGGAGTACCCACGGAGCCTCTCTAACGTTAGTTCGAACCAAGGGGTTTGGTTCGAACTAATGCTTCCCGGAACGCACTTTCACTTTCAGAACAGCTGTTCTGAAAGTGAAAGTGCGTTCCGGGAAGCATTAGTTCGAACCAAACCCCTTGGTTCGAACTAACGTTACTCCTCAAAAAATGAGTATGCCATTTGACAGACACCAGAAGAAGTGGACTAAAGGAGTCATGAGGGGTGCAATGGGGGCAAGTAATCCAAAGGCACAGGAGGCACTTATTAGTCAGCAGACAACACCCAGAGAGAGCCTACAGAGATCGTTACACAGTGAAGAGACAAAGAACAACCTAGCAGCCAACCCCATGGGGAGGAAGGGGACCCCCCCCTCACCAACACACACAGAAAGATAGCTTACAAGACTCTGTCACAAATGACAGAGACACAGAGATGTTACCAGTTGAGGACACCAATCTATCTCAAAGACTATGTAATCAGCTGAGTCTGCGGTAAAAATGAGACTCTACGTAGGCTACATGCACACCACCTCTGGATAGCAGGGATCTAGGCACCAATTATTTGTTTTTAATGTTTCTATTAAAATATTTGTAAAATAAGAAAGATGCCTGACAATTGGTAGAACCAGAGTCAAAAGGCCCACATTCCCTGGAGGAGCTATTACTGGGGGAACGCAAGGGGAACGGGGAATGTGGGGAGTTAGGCTGGAAGCAACTCTCATGACAGAGAAGTAATCAGGGTTTAACAAAGTTCCAGTTGTTCGACTTAACCTGCATTCAGCTTCCCTCTTTGCTAATGAAACATATCTGGGCTGTGCTCAAACACTTTGCCTTCTCCAGAAAAAGAACACCTCAGCTGCTAAATAGCATAACCCCTTCAACTTCTTGTACAACCACATCACCTTTATGCAGATGATGCCCTCTAACACTACTTTCACTCACCCATGGTAAGGACTGGCAGCAGTAGGACAAGCAGAGCAACAGCCCCAGCTTGCTGCGCTCCTCTGGGCATGTTGCTCAGGGGAGGGATGGGACCAGCCCACACTCAATCACAGGTAGGGGAGCAATGTGGCCGGGGAAGCAAAGCAAGCTAGGGCCACATTGCTTCACTTGACCCACCCCTGCCGGTGAGTGTGTGTGTGGAGCAGCTCCTGCTGCCAGCTCTAGTCCCCTGGCCGCATCACTTAGGAAAGGTAAAGAGGTGGGATGGAGCAAAGCAAAGGTGGGGGAGAAGGCAGAGCGGGAGGCACAGAACAGAGGAATGAAGCAGGGGCAGAGAGGAGCTGGGCTTGAGGTGGAGGGGGGGTGTCCTGGCCCTTCCCTGGGATGGGGGAGGGGGTGTCACATGACTGGTGGCACCTCTTGCCCTCCTTCACCAATAGCCTCTGTACTTATCCTTCATCAAACCACCTAATTTTTGACAAGCCCCATGGCAAGAAGATTCCTCTTGTGACACAACATACACAGCATTGGGCTGAAATGAGACATACTGATTTCCCAATGTACACATGCATCTCTTTCCTTTGATCACATACATGGGGGTCGCGGAGGAGGGATCCCCCTCACAGACTGGTTTCTTCCAAGCTTCTACACCATTCAATGCAGCTGGAGTGCAGGCAGTTAATTCCTAATGTCTAAGGGGGGCAGAGTAAAGGTTACATAGGCCTATAATTTAATACTTCATTCACTGGTTTTCAGAAGTTTAAATTTTGCTTGATGAACTTTCTGAAAGATTATGCTAGATCATTGGCAGGGCTATCGACAGAACTGCTGGGCCCTGGGCAAGGGGTGTGTGTGTGGGGGGGAGGGAGGGATGTTTTCTGAGTCCTCAGAAGGGGCGGGGCCTCATGCAGAAGTAGTAGGGTTAGGGCCAGCCTCCCACAGTTAGTCTTTCAGTGCTGCCTGGCCCGTGCCACTGAGGCTCCAGCAGCGATTTAAAGGGCCAGGAGCTCTAGTCGCTGCCACTCCTGTTATAGCGGCAGTGGCCAGAAGTCCTGGGTCCTTCTAAATCACTGAGCCCCAGAGCAGCTGTCCTCTTTGCCCCCTGTTGGTGGCCCTGATTGCTGGACATCTTTAACTCCGCCTTAAAGTTTTAATTGTTTTTATCAGCCTCTTGTAACTTGAACAATTCACTATCTTTTCTTTCCTTTTTTATCCCCCTTTCCTTCCTCCTCTCCCCCCCTTTTCTTATTTATTCTTGGATCTGTACTTTCTATTCTCCAGTCATCTGAAGAAGTGGGTTGCACCCATGAAAACTCATGATACCATCTACATGTTTTGTTAGACTTTAAGGTGCTACTAGACTATTCGTTGTTTTTTAAGTTTTTTAAATTTTTTGTCAGTTAATTAGCATTATTATCCAAACGTGCATTTATTTACATATGTTCAATTCCTGAAAATAAGCTGTGACCAGAAAGGATTTTGAAAATCCTTATCACAAATCAGGATTGCACTGAAAATAAAGCTGACATTTCTGTTACTGTGCCTTTTTAATCTCTATGTATATTTCACTACCTATATCATTTTTATTGTACACTCAGACCTCAGTCCAGTAAACATGTCTCATATTTATATGAAGTAATTGCATAATTACATATAATGTATGTTACATTTATCCACTTTTGCACTCAAATACTTGAACTACATTGTTTGAATCCCTTTCTCCTGCACAATATCACCTAATCAGATTTACTGTACCACAGCTACAAAGAACTTGCTGACTTCTAAATCAGCAATTTGAATGGTTGCAGGTAGTATAATAAATAAATAAATAATAATTAATAAATGTATTAACACTCCACAACTGATGTTGTTATTTAACAGGAACAGGTTAGGAAAGAGAGGAGGAAAAATATGGAGCACTTTACAGTACTGTTTATTTCAAGGCATAAGAAAATCTGCATTCCAACAGCTTTTTTTTTCCCTCTGAGACAAGAATAAGCATTTTTTTAAAAGATGTAATTGTAAAATATGTCCTCTTAATATAAAACATATTTTAAAAAGAATTACCTGGATTTCTGGATTAAACTCGCCAAAACAAAACATTTTAGCTCTTAGTACCAGATCTGAGTGTTTTTCCTCTTCACTGATGCAGGCAGCTTTAAGGATTTCTTTATGTCCTACAATAACACTTATTTTTTCATGTCTGTGGGGGGAAAAGAAATATAGATCTTACTTGTTTATTCTGTGGATTTATTTTGTTGTGCATTAACCATCACTCAACAGTTTAATTTTTTTAAGAGAGCTGCTACCATTTTACAAACTGGCTTTTCTAGGCAAAGGAAGAATTCAGAGCTCCAAAAACTAGAGAAAAAAATCAGTTTACCCTTGGATGGTGAAAGAAAATGCTAAGTATCTTTTATTATATGACTTTACAGTTTGAAAACATGCATAGTCCTGAGGCACCTAAGCCCTGGTTGACACTAGGGAGTTATTTCAAAATAACAAGCAAAGCGTCCATATTACAAGCCCATTATTTTGAAATAACGGGCTGATTGTTTTGGAATAATAACTCCTGCTTTCCATGAGGAATAATGCTTATTTCAAAATCATTATTTCAGAAGTTATTATTTCAAAATCATTTCCTAAAGTAGGCATGCCCTTAAAGACTAACAAAAGTGTATATAGTATCATGAGCTTTCTTGGGCAAAACCCCCTTCCTCAGATGAGCTTGAGTGGGAAAAAAAGGACCCAAAATTTAAATTAAATTTAAATTTGGAGAGTCTCCCTTTTTTCTCCATTTGAGCTCATCTGAAGAAGTAGGTTTTGCCCACGAAAGCTCATGATACTACATATATTTTTGTAAATTTCTAAGGTGCCACAGGACTACTCATTTTTAAAGTTATAGACTAACATGACAATCCCTCTGAAACAGTTTGAAAATATTCTATGTAACAAGAACAAATTTAGACATTATTTATGACAGTGAGTATCAGCAGCCATCAATTGATACGATTGCAACCAGTCGGACACAGCACCTCCCCTTCCTCTTTACTGGACCAGTAAAGTTGACCAGACATATTCCTCTGCTTTTCCCTTCTTCCTTGACCTTGGCTTTCTTAGTTATAATTTGTTAAGCTTTTTATCATGCCTTTGGTATGTTATCTGTAGTACAATGCAAGATATTGTAGTTTCTTGTACCCAAGACCATGAGGCCTCATTTTGCTTAGAAATCATATTGCTTATGAGTATTTATGCAAACTGTGGAATGTGTGTGTGGTGTGAATAAGAAATATCCAACTAAGGATACTGATTGGATCTGTGACCTTTTAAGGAAGACAAAGACCCTACAAGCAGATAAATTAACTGAGAAGCAGCCAGGAACTTTCTCTTCTCCTTTTAGAAGAGATGTAACAGCATTGTGAAACCTGGGACTGAATCAAAGGCGGTAACCCTCCTGCAGATCCAATGGACTCCAGGGATAGCCATGAGGCTCCTGGTCGGTCTCCGGGAAGCTGATGCCTGGCTAGCTCAAGCTACCTGTGAAATTGGAAGTTTTCTATGCCACGTCTGCAGCCTATCTTCAACTGCCAGTATGAATGTGATGTATGTGTGTGAGTATCATCTTACCCTTAAGAGTCTGTATTAATAAACAAGCTTTAGTGCTGCTCCTGCTCACCCATTGTCTGAGTTATTTCCTTGGCTGGTCCAGGGACCGGCAACAAGTATAAGAGCACTACAGAAATTAGGCAATTAAAAGAATTGAAATTAATTTAAAAATAAAACACGAATAAGCTGTACATTTGTGAAAGGATATTAACAAGGCTCAAGTGTGCCATTTGACAGAAAGCCATAAAGCATCTCTGAAGTAATATCTGCAGGTCAGAGTGTGTCTTTCCTCCCACTTCACCTTGCTATGAGTTGGAACACAATAGCTTTTTAACAGCACTCAGAAATACTGCTCAACCTTGTGGGGCAGGAAGTGAAGAAGAATGTCTTATTCAGCTGAAAATGGGAACGTAAGTACATTAAATTATCCATGTTTAAATTTAGCAAGAATGCCATAATCACTACATTGCCTAAGGGGGATCCTGATTGCAAAATGGGGGCACAGCCCTGATTCCTCCTGCTCTCCTTTTAGGTTGAGATGTATCCCCAGAGACACTTGAATGTGTGTGGCAGGAAAAAAAGCACCTCCTTGTTCCCTTCTGTAAGAATATAGTCCCCTCATTAGATCCGAGCAAACTATAATTTTAAAGTGAGTTGGGATATTAGTATGTACAATAGGCCCAAAGCATGAGTCCAGAAAGAAAGAGATCCTGAAAAAGACTTGTCGTGTTAAACTTGAAGAGAAACATCAAAATATCTGTGTTGTTTTATTTAAGGTTCTGTGCTAAAGTAAGAGAAATAAAACACGGTTAATTGGGTATCAAATTCAAAAATAATTGCCTACATAAGAAACTGTTTCATTTGCCCTTGGCTAAACTCTGAGAATTGACAATGACATCACTTGTTTGTTAAGGGGTATAAAAAAGTAAAATTTGAAGGATTCCTTGCTAATACTTGCCTGACCATGTTGGAGCTGAGAAATGTGTGTCTAAGAACCCATGGGGTCAGCCCAATTATAAGTATCTTGATCAAACACTGGTAAGTGTTCTGATAGCACTTGGATGTAGTAAACTGCTTACTGTTTAGACTTTTTAGGCATGTTCAGAACAGTTGTATAAATACCATTCTGCCTTTGTATTTCATAAAGGAATTTACGGTCAAATGAGCAATATCCTGGTAATACCCTCCATAAATAATCCCAACACCTTCTCTTCCACTCTACCACATTAGTGCCATGGACTATATAGTCCTTGGTAATTACAAATGGGACATACGTATCATGGAGCATATTTTTCTCCTCAGTCTATCTATCAGCAACCCCAAAATGCTAGCATGTGTAGTGAAACTGCTATTTTCTGTTATATTATATATATATGCCTTTTTCAGAAATTGCACTCCTTCAAAATACTTTATGAACCACACTTACAGCATGACTATATTGAAAATGTCTCTATATTGCTGTTCAGGGAATAGGTCAGATAATCAAAATATCCAGTGGTGAAGAGGTACCAAATGACTTCTGAACAACTTATTGCTTTCTCTAATTCAGTAACTTACAGTTTTGCCCTTATAATTTTTGCCATGTGTTCAATTTCATCCAAAGTTTCATCTAAGTCTTGGTTATTCTGGATCAATACAAGATTTTGTTCCTCTAGCTCTGTGAACATATGTAGTAACTGTTTTGGATCTGTGAAATATATTTCTGGTACCTATGACAGAGAAAAGAAAGATACACTGCATCCACTGGAAGATAAGCTACACATTTTAGGTAACTTCAGTCTTACTGAAAAGATGTCTTTTTAAAATTTAAAACAACAGAAAAATGGTAATGGCATGAAAGGGGAAACCTGAAGGAGCAGATTAAGAAAGATCTATGGCTGATTTGAGCTGTTATTATAGTGATGCAAAGCAGCTGGAGCAGAGCTGAGAACATGGCCAATGGGTTCAATACGTGCAATCAAGCACACACTATTTGGCCCAGAATTTCTGCAGCTTTTGTATAAGAAAAATAAAGTCATTAAAGTAAAAAAATCCACCCCAGCAAACCCTCATTTTCCAGAAGACACATGTTCAATATAGATGTATAGTTTTATTACCATATCTATGTCCAAATCTTTCAAGGCATCTTCATGCATTGCACAGTCACTCTCGTTTCCCCACCTGATATAAAAAGGAGAGGAAAAAAGATTAAGCCAGTTCCTCATTCTAAGACTAAAATCGGAATCCTATAGGAACTTTTCAGCGGGTGGAAAGGGAACTCCCATCATTGCAATAGATGTTTTCAGCTCTCTGAAGACTTACACCAGTGGTCTCCAACCTTTTTAAGCAGAAGATCACTTTTCCAATTTAAGTCAAGCCAGGATCTACCTCAAACCCAAATACCCTTGCCCCACCTCTTCTCCAAGACCCTGCTTCACCCTATCACCAAGACCCCACCCTCCTCACTCTGTGAAGATGGGGTACAGGGGTGGGGCACAGAGTGGCATCAATGCCCCCCTACCTCTGTCTCCCTCACTCTGCAGAAGCAGGAGGCTCCCAGGGGGTGGCTATGGCCACAAGCAGCAGGGAAGTGGAGGGGAGGGGCAGGTGAAGTGCAAGCACTTGATAGCCTCCCAGTCAAACCAGTCAGGATCACCTGTCAGGAGCTTCAAGATCTATCAGTAAATTCCAATCTACTGGTTGGTGACCACTGACTTACACATTAGTCTTCTCCACATATGAAAAATAGTATTTTTTTTTTGGTCCACAAGAAAGCATGCAAAGGAGAGAAGGGAGGAACTGAAGCTTTTAACTAACAGGTTTAAATTGGATTTTACCCTGTAAGGAAACTATTTCAATGCACTGGCCTGTACTACAGAGTATTCAGGAGTCTATCATACCTACAAGAATAGTTTCTGCCCTTTTCAATAATAGCTGCTGTGTAAGCAATCATTTTGAGCTCAATAGCTCGCACACTGCCTTGGATACATCTATTTTTTAAAATTGTGACAGCCCTTCAGCAGGCTCCAGCACATAATCAAGGGTAGAAACATGGCATAATGGATTGGCAAAACAGAGATGCTTGTCTGCAAAGAACAACATTAACTAAAAGAAGATGAAAAGGATGGTTAATTGTAAGATGCTGAATTACAGTTCTCAATTCCCTCCTACACCACTCTTCTTTGTTTGTCCTCTTGTCTTTCCACTCAACCGCTTGGTGAACTCTTGTGGGAGCCCCAAAGTCAAGCCTAACAGAGAACCTTCAGATACAAGAGTGTTACTTTAGCTGTCCCATCACAGGCACTTTCACCTGATACTCATCTGGTTCCAGATATTCACAGATAAAAGTTTTATTCAGTCATCATACTGCTCCTGGTGTTAATTATCACGTCACAACAAACTCTTGGGCCTTCATCCACAAATCACAAAGTTGTTGGTTTAAAGTTGCTCTCCCAATGGATTGTTAAATCTTTCTATCTACCAGATGTTAATGGCTTTGGCCATTTGTATCTCTACCAAATCACTACCATTATGGAAGTGGAAGAATTATTGATAAACTCCCTCACTTTGGTATGTAGGTATCTGTTATAATGGCATTTCTTATTTTAATTTGCTCTCTTACTTGATATATTTCCTAATGGCACATTGGCAGATGAAGAAAGCAGATTTTGTCTGATACTGTACCTTGGTGATGTCTTTTTTTATCAGTCAAGATGGATTTGCACTCACTTACCGTAACCTTTTCACTTCACTCAAGTCTGCTTCTGTTAGTTTTCTAGAAAGTCTGCGTTCATTTTCTTCAACACGTGAAGAGATAAAAAGGATAAATTTGCAAGTAAATTTATAGGGAAATTACAATATTATCCAATTATATGAACATGAACTTACACATTATGGGGTATATTCTTATCCCGATCCTTTGAATGTTTTCAGCAATGGTCTCCAGACATTAAGGACATGTATTTTACCACTTTGTCTAGAACTATCATACAGTTTCTTTCTATATATATTTTAGATAAATACAAGGAAATCTTGTTTTCATAATTTAAAAATGAAAGAGGAACCTACTCACCTTGGTGCAGTAATGACGGTTCTTCAAGATGTGTGTCCCTGTGGATGCTCCACTGTTGGTGTTGGATTTGTCCTGGAGCAGCATATTGGAAATTTGCCAGCAGTAGTCTGCCGGACTGTGCATGTGCGTTATGCACCTCGTGCTGTTCGTGCCATTTCTTTAGGCACACAGTCCACCTCCTGCCAGTTCCTACTGATCGCTGAGTGTCTGAAAAACACAAGAGCAGAAACTCCAAACCGGGGAGGAGGGTAGGTAGTGGAGCACCCACAGGGACACACATCTTGAGGGACCGTCGTTACTGCACCAAAGTGAATAACTTCCTCTTCTTCTTTGAGTAGCGTCCCCGTGGGTGCTCCACTGTTGGTGACTTAGTAGCAGTGGCCAGATAAGATGGAAGGTGGGATTTGGAGTTCCCGTTTCACCTCTGTGGATAGTACTGCGAAGGCAACTGCTGACTCACTAATGAAATTGTTAGGAATAGCATAATGCTTAGTGAATGTGTGATTAGAGGACCATGTAGCAGCTTGGCAAATGTCACATTAGGGGTCCCCCTTGAGGAAGGCCGTAAAAGCTGCCACCTGGTAGAGTGGGCTTTTGGTTTCTGGAAGAGGCTTGTTCTGTATTGAGTAGCATCGGACTATACATGAAACAATGAGTTTTGAGATGCTTTGTACAGAGACAGATTCGCCTTTGGAATGGTCAGCCACAGAAAGCAACAGCTGTGATTTGCAGAAAGGCCAAGTTCTATTGATGTAGAAGTGCGCTGCATACATCCAATGTGTGGAGCATAGCATCCTGTCAGGAAGAGTGTGGTTTCGGGTAGAAACATGTTGGTGGGTGCAGTCCACCAGACCAAGGACTTTACCACTTTTGGTGGCAGAGTTACATGTCTGTGAATGTAGCATGTGCCGGGAGTATAAACAGAGGCCATCCAGTGCTGGAGGCACCGCAGGTGCAGCCATGTGTGAGCCACTACGTATGTGGTAGCCACCATATGCCCCATGAACTGAAGGCAGGTAAGTATGGGAACCATGGGGCTCATAAAAAGGATCTCTATAAGCTCCTGAATGGTTTGGAATCTGTGTGAGGGTAAGTAGGCCTAGGCAGTAGTTGAGTCCAGATGTGCTCCTATGAATTCTAGGAAATGTTGCGGCGTCATAGAAGATTTTTGGAAATTAGTTATAAGACCCAGGGCTTCGAAGACTGCTCTCGTTGTATTGATGGATTGGAGCGTGTCTGCAAAGGAATGGACCTTGATCAAGCAATCATTGAAATAGGGAAATATGATGATCCTGGCTCAATGCAGATATGCTGTGATGACTGCAAGTGTCTTCGAAAACACCCTGGGTGCCGAAGACAGGCTGAAAGGCAAGACTCAGTTCTGTATGCTGGATGAATTGTGACATGAAAGTAAGCATCCTGCAGGTCAAGGGATGCAAACCAGTCCCCACTGTCATGAGCTGGGATAATAGATGCTAAAGTCACTATCTTAAATCTCTGTTTGCGAAGATGTCAGTTGTGTTGACAGATGTCTAGAATAGGCCTCCATCCCCCCGAACTCTTCCAGGTGAGAAAATAATGGGAATAAAAGCCCTTGCCCCTGAACTTTTTGGGTACTCTCTCTACCACTCCAATGTTGAGGAAATGCAGAACTCTTGTTTCAAAAAGGTCTCGTGAGAGGGGTTCCTGAAGAGAGACAGGGAGGGAAGAGGGAGAAAGGTGAAGGGAATCAAGCAGCCAGATGTTACTAGCTCTAGAACTCAGCTATCGGTCATGATGGCAGCCCACTATCGCTGGTATGGTCTTAGACAGTGATGAAATATATAGGTATCTTTTCAGCGGTGACCAGTAAGTGGGATGGCTTGCAGACCCTCGACCAGCATGTCACATTTGCTGCCGGTTATTCTGCTGATTAGATACTCGGGTGTTTTGGGGGCACCACTTTTGTGGACTCTGTCTGGGATGGTGCTGAGGTGCAGAATATGGGAAGGATACGGGACATAGCATCCGCGCTAGTAAGGAGGCATGTACATGCCTAGTGTTCTTAACATAGTCCTTGAATCTTTACTGGTATGGAGAACCTCATCAGTTTTTTCAGAAAAAGTTTTTGTCTGTGAAACGGGAGGTCTTCCACCTTGGACTGTAGTTCTTTAGGCATCCCTGCTGACTGAAGCCATGAGGCTCTGCACATCACCACTGATGTTGAGGTAGATCGTGCGGCTGTATCCGCAATATCCAATGAAATCTGGAGGGCCGTATGAGAAGATGAGTAGCCCTCCTGAACCACCGATTTCAGTATTTGCCATTTGTTATCTCGGAGGTGTTCCATGAGCGTAGTTAACTTGGCATAATTGTCAAAGTTATGGTTAGCTAAGAGGGCAGCGTAGCTGGCCATCCTAAACGTCAATGTAGCGAAGCCAATGAGTAAACCTTTCTGCAGAAGAGATCAAGCCTTTTGCTGTTCTTATCATTGACATTGTTTTTGTATTGTGGTGCCTTGGCCCTTTGTTGTGCTGCATTGACTACTGGGGAGCTAGGTTGAGGATGGGTGCAAAGAAAATCCATCCCTCTGGCAGGGACAAAATATTTCTTATCTGCCCTCTTGTTGGTCGCAGGGATGGAGGCTGGAGTTTCCCATATTTTGTCCGCTACCTCCAAAATGACCTCGTTGAGGGGTAAGGTGACCCTAGATTTTTGAGAGGGCTGTACATTTTTTAGCAAGCAGTGCTGTTTCTCCTGCAGCTCTGTGAGCTGAATCTCCTGGCTAGCAGCAACTCATTTGAAGAGGTCCTGAAACTGCCTGAGATCGTCAGCTGGTGATGAATCTCCCGGAATTACTGCTTTGTCGGGTGAAGATGAAGATGGATCCGTCAGAGAAACTCCCTGTGGTTGTTCATGGTCGGACAGTTGGCCTTCTTCAGGGTGGGAGTGCTGTGGCGGCTGGGATGTGATTTGTTCGGGAGTAGGAGGGTGCATGTTGGCTGGGGTAGGAGAAGAAACGTGGCATCGTCTAGACTCTGATTGATGACAGCAAGGCGACCAATGCTGAGAATGGCGTGAAGAGATAGAGTGATGTGCTGGGCAATGATGTTCGTAGCAGGTATCTTGAAGGCAAGGAGTGCACGGAGGACAAGGTGCTCCTACAATCATCGTGATAGTAGCATACACTGACAGTATTGGGGATTTGAGTGATCTAGACCTGGGTCTTACTGAAAAAGGAGGAGAGGGTGAAGTGCGGGTGAAGTGCATCAGTACTGATAATAAGGATGAGGTGAGAGAGAACGCTGTGCTGTCGAACTATAGTAAGCAGTGCGGTGCCGCGGAGCGTCAGCAGGTAAGGCTGATCGGCACCAGTGAGGGAGAAGGAGATACCGGAGAGAAGGTGATACGTTCTGGGCTGGGGAAGGGGGTAGTGACTCTGTATGTTTTATGCTGGGATTTAGCCAGAGCCGACGTTGGTACTGGTGGTGCCTTGGTTGAACATTGGGCAGCGGGAACTCTGAACGGTGCTGACTAGTGATGCCAGTGCCAACTGTGGTGCCGGTGCAGAGTGGACTGCCGGTGCTGACAGCGGTGCCCGTGCCAATGGTGGTGCTGACGATGACATGGGTGCTGTTGGCGCCATCAGTGCCGCCCCATAGATCAATGGCGATTTCTGTGCCAGGCTTGTTTCTGGTGCCGGCGTACTGCGGCGCGGCTTGGAAGCTTTGGTAGGTGGAAGCTGTGCCCGAAGTGCCTGGCTTGTCACCAATGCTTACACGACCCAGTGGCAGAGATCGTGCCAGGGAGGCCCTCCTCTTTGTTGAAGAGCGATGGCCTGACGATGCAGCCCGCTATGAATCGACTCTTATAGAGACCGAGAGGGGTGAAGAGGGCTCCGTCTGTGAGGGCTGGAGTGCTTTATCAAATAAAAGCATCTGGAGCCTCATCTCCCTGTCTCTTTCAGCTCGAGCTCTTAGCTTCGCGCAATGGGGGCACTTCTCGGGAACATGCCCTTCGCCCAGACACTGAATGCAATGGGAGCGACCATCTCAGGAGGGCATGGGCTCCCAGCAGGAGTCATATTTTTTAAACCCAGAGGATCCCAGCATGGTCGTCTCTGCTTTTTGCCTTCCTGTTACTCTTCTCTCTCTTTCTTTTCTTCTTTTTCTTCTTTTTTTTCTAAATGTGAGGTGTGTCCGGCTCCAACGTCTTTTTTTTTTTTTACAGTTAGGAACTATCGAACTACTGCTAAAACTAACTATCAACAACAAACAACTAACAAACAGCTAATTCTGTTCTGACAGGATCTGATGAGAGGGAGCTCACTCTGTCTGCGACGGAGGACGGTTAGGAGGAACTGGCAGGAGCCAGACCGCGTGCTGGCAAATCTCTGATTTGGAGCTCTGGGAGAAGCCCAACGCCAACAGTGGAGCACCATGGGGACACTATTCGAAGAAGAACTAATGTTATTTTAAGGCTTTTGAATAATAATGACTTCTTACCCACTTTAGAACAGTAATTAGTGATACGTTTTCCTTGTGTTGGACTCAAGGCACCAAGAAATTGTTCCTTTGTACTGTGGTTCAGATTAGGGATGTAAAATCCTGTATAATTAGTTAACCAATTAAATAGGGGGGTGAGGTAGGGGGCTCGTTATACTTATTTTAAAGATGTCCACAGTGAGGAACAAAGTATTTAAGTGATTTGCCCATGACCACATGGCAAATATCCATAGATTTGTAG